ACTGACAAATAAGATACGTAGCGTGATTTATTGCTAAAAGTCACTGAGACAACATAAGAATATGGTCCATTTTGTGTTCCATAGAAATTTTCTGCTGACACGGAATCTGCTAGTTGATCACGTGACTTCATTTGTTGAAATATATTCTAGCAGACAACACTTGGAATTCCGATTACCGCTTGGGATTATAAGGAAATTCGTCCGATAAAAATTGGTGACGTTTGGTAATAACTGAAATCCGCCATTTTGTATTTGTCAAAGTATACATTAATACATTTGACCTTGCTTGAAACTACTGGATTCATTCTACTAGCTGACATTGTAGAGAAAACCCATGTTTATCAAAACAAGCTAATGCGGAGGTCGCGCAAGGTCACTCATGTAAATTATTAATCCTTTCCGGAAATCCACGAATAAAAGGTTTCCACGAAATTAGGTTACTCGACTATATATTAAATATTTAATTGGTATTGTATTCTAGTGATCTGACCCTGAATAGTGAATATTGTAAAGTGAATTCACTCAATTATCCAAATTTTTAATTTATAGGGGGCAGCATTTGGATTTAGTACTATAGCAGCTCAGGCTGGTGAACAGTTAGCACCCTTTCTACCACAAATGGTACCAAAACTTTATAGATACCAGTTTGATCCCAACCCTAAAATACAGCAAGCTATGAGTAGTATCTGGAATGCTCTTGTTAAAGATAACAAGAAAACGGTACGTGAACCAATATAATTTTGGTTGAATATTTAAAGTTAAAAGTTTGGAACAATTCACTTGAATAAACGATAAGCTTTTCAATTTACTTCCCTTTGGTAGGGTCTGACAAGGAAGGAGTATGTAGTTCTCATCGTGTACAAACCACACCCCATACTCATACTTTCTCGAGGCCGTGGTAATAGTTAGTACTGTGTATTTTTTCTCTGTGAATTATTAATATAATGTAATTCATCATCTACCTTTTGTTGAATTCTGTAAATTTAGTAATTTTATATCCCTTCAAATGTACCACTCGTTGTATGATGTCTTTAATGGGCGTATTTGATACAATAAACTTATCTTATCTGTCTTATCTTATCTTATCTTATCTTATCTTATCTTATCTTATCTTACAGGTGAGGGAAATCACGTATTCATAGCTGAATATTATCAAAATTGGTCCTGAAATCTTTCTAAGAAATCTTAAGCAATCAAATCAATTCACTTGTTACAGATGCATTCTACTGATCTGATTGATCAGATTTAAATAGCACAAACCTTCAAAACTAAGTGTAGTGGGTTTAGTATAAAAAAGACCATGT